TAGTAAAAAATTTTTGGTAACAAGTTTAAATTGTAAAAAATAAATATGAAAGAATGAGTGCTCTTCTATAAAAAAATCAATCTGTATGTTCAATGTTGTATGATATAGGCTCACTGCATGAAAAAATAACTCCTATCATAAATTACAATTATACAAACATATGTTGATTTGAAAATGGTCTATTATTGCTATTTAGCCATCAATATATGAATATTTTAGTCAAATWATATACTATTTCAAATTGTGAAAATGTTTTGTTAAAATTATAGTACCTACCCAATATAGTAACAATTGTTACTTGTTGATAATTAACAATAATGCTTTTATTATAGATACTATTATCTTATCAATGTATTAAGAACAGCTACGGGTATAATATTCAGGTAACATCGCCAAAACTATAAAAATCGTTTGAAGTTCATATTGTTATATTTATATAGGTTTCATAACTTAATATTATTTACTATACGAATTGTAAAATTATGCTAAATATTCATGAATAAATAATGATTATCTCGTTCTTTATTTGACCACGTGGGTCTTGATAATTTTATGATTTTAAATTTAAAAATAACTAGGTATATTGTTTAATATAATATAACACATAATTATTAATGGATATGAACTCAATTAATAAAATAAAATGAATTATATYTTCTTTAAAATGAACTCGCAAAAAATTCCTWAAAACATTACAATTTAAATATCCTCATAACTCGCTTCAAAATAATATCAAAAAACATTTTAAATTTTTGAGATGAGATTCATTCTATAAAAAAATAGTTTCTGAAACGTGATGAAACGTTATTTTGATATGTACGCGTGAATGATATCTATAGTTTAATTGTTCTCCGATAAAATTGCAAAAAGTTGCAAAAATGATATAGTTTAGTCTCGTTTTTACTGTAGTATAATTACTTAATAATAATAAGTTATTCTTCAAAACATAAGTTATATCGACTTAATCATCAAAATTAGGTAGCTGCTTCATTGTATCACGACGACGACGGTAATGTAAATAATAAATACCAAATAGTACATAGGACGCAAATTTCTTAATAAATACTTTTAAATTACAGCAGATTATTATCAATTACTCATTAGCATCTTTCTGGGAAAAAAATTAAATTTTACTACTAGAAGTTTTCTATAATCGTTTTCAAAAGCCAATGCATYATGATAATAGAAACCCTAAAATTATTGCATGATATCTCAGAAKTAAACATGTCATAAAATAAAGCTAAAAATTTATTAAGAAATGGCTGACATGGTAATTTTATAAATTATAATTTTAAATTTTTATTTAATTAAATGTAATCCAAGAATTAAAAGTAAAATTACAAAATTATCGATAGACCTCTATTGTTATTGTGGATAACGGAATATCGAGAATATCATTAATATAAGATTTATTTTCTCATTTGCAATAAAATATTAACGAGAATATTACATTTTTATTTTATTGTATGTTATTGTACAATTCAAATTTTTTAGGTATAACATTATGTTTTGATAGTTTGAAAATGAACCAATTGCTTCCTACTGATCCAATAAATATTACATGGACTCTTTAAGGTATGTCTACATATCATCAGCGGATGTCACAATTTCCCTTGTYTTCAACCACTAGAATATATCGTATAATATTAAGAGGTGACGTCTTTTCTGATTGAGAAATCGGTTCAATATAGTCTACAATCATTTTTTTTTWAAATAAAATTGGTTATACTTATAATAGCTTTCGTATGAACTTAAATGTATTTTAATATTGATTGCTAAAATCCAATTTTTCAAAAATATTACTATTTTATAAAAATAAACTTTTTTACTTTACCTTTAATTATCCAATGTCAATTATCTAAGAATTTGAAAGTTAAATGGCCATAAAATAATTGTATTCTCCTTCAAAACTTAACCCATTAATTACCTTACTTATTACTTTATTGGTTTATTAGTGTACCCCCAACACAAGCATGTGCTCAAAGGTGATAGATATATTATTTTATTTTATACATCAGTTTAAGTTTTGACTAAAACGGTAGATAAATGTATTTAAATAGAATAAATATAAAATGAAAAATAAGTTATTTAACTCATCTATTTTTAAACATAAAATAATAATGTTGTATATTATTATACATTTATACATTTTATATTTTTATTTAATAATTCATTTCTATAAGTTATATTTATTTTGGATAAAATTTATCGAAAAAAAGATAATAAAAGTATACATGTATGTATAACTACTTGTAGGTAATAAATGCATTATAGGTATTATTAGGTGCGTGCTCCATTTAACAGTTTATTATATTTATTCGTATAAAATATTTTAAACGGATGATGAATTAGTGAAATAATTTTTAATATAGTATAATAAATAGTTTAAGTTTTATCTAATAATCCAATACCTTTTAGCTAGCTTACATTATCTGAGAATTATATATCAATATATCATTATGACTATTAATAATTAATACTCTCTAAAATTGCAGAGTAAAACCATGTTCAATTTCATAATTATAAAATCTGTTTAAGTAAGACTAACAATTTTATCCATAATAAAAACATATTTAGGTAGGTTAAATATAGTTATTAAGTRCAGAGGTTAATTTGTTCATCACGTAATATTTTCAGTGTTATAAAATATTAWTAAATTATTWAAAAAATATTATAATTATTGAAAAAAAAATGTACTTATTAGTAAAATATTAAATATTGTGCAAAAACATGAGAATAGATAAGTGTTCAATAGACATTTTAATAAATAACAACATTCTGTCAACATTTTAAAAATATTCTATACAATATACATATTATGTAGATACATATATATTATAACTATTTTTTTAGACTTAATTATATTAAATTTAGGATTTTCAATAGTATACTAGCTATTATTATATCATTTTTAAGCTCTAGTAGACGTTTACATTAATAAAAGTATATACCTTTAACGGCTTTAACGCTTAAAATTCATAGTTTGAATTATCTGCAAAATTAACAAATAGAACTAACACAATGTAGGTACTGTACAAAGGCTCAAAGTCAAAGGAATCAAAATTCATCATGTCAAACTTAGCATTTCYTAAATCATAGTAACAACTGAAAATAAATACTGTTATTACTTGTTACAGGCAAAACAATCTTTTGACAAAGGTACAAAATAATATAATATAATAGTACAATATAATAATATGTATAATATACCTATAATATTTTATCTTAATTTGTAGGTATATCGTCTATGGTATATATAAAGTCTTTATAAACGACTTTTGCGCATTAAAATAATAACATATTATGGTAGATTTTTGACACGGTAAATCAATAACATGCAATACGCTTTAATTGTTGTCCAATATTGCATTTAAATATTGTATCCTATATCACYGCGAACGATCAATTAATAACCTAGTTACGACCGTTGACGTTTAACCGCACTGCAGACCGCAGTGCTCGGACAAGTATAGATGAGGACATGAAACATGAGGTTTGTCCGGTCGACTTACGTATGAGTCGTATGACACTATGACGAGCCGGTACATAAAAAGACATTTGCCGGTGCAGCCGTGCAGCGCTGCAGCGGTAAGTGGTTGACGTCCGCGGCGACGGCGTCCGTGTCGGTGAGACGAGTCAGTGCCAAAAAAAAAGATTAACAAATGCGCCGCGCCGATGTCTAGCGAGCGCKCCAAATTGGGGGGGTGCCCGCAGCTTGAACGGTGACGAACTGCGGCGGCGGTGGCGGGAAAAACAATGACGCAATAAACGTGGTCTCTTGCGCGTGACGTCGCGACACGGCACTACGACAGTGACGCGGATCACCACTCGTATTATATAAATAAATATAATATTATACTAGTATACTACCTTACTACCTACCAATAAAAGTGTTCGAAAAACATTCGATTTCATATCTGTCGTAATTCAATTAATATGAACAAATTTTATTAATGCATAGGTAATGATAGAAAATGGTTCAACACGATAGAAATGATAGAATATTATAGCATAATTGATCCGATTGTAATATTCTTGTAAAAATTCGTCGACGGTAGAGCGTTGCGACAATAAATTGTACACGATTACAATTCCGTGAACAGAAACCAATCGTGGGACGAACTACTATTATTTCATCCGTAAATGATAACATAATATGTACCTATTCGAGAAAACGGTCCGCGTGACCCCAGTTTCTCGTTCGTTATCGAACGCGTACAGGGTGGATTATTTTTACTCGAATCGGCCATCGTGACACTATATAAATATTTAATAAGCTTTAATATATTGTTGTACAATGATTCGGTTCATTTATAATTGTATTTATTATTTTCCGAACGATTTAATATTTTGTTCTGCCCGAGTCCCGTAATTAGTCATACCACCCTGGCGCCCTGTACCTATATAGCGCGTAGTCGACTTTCGATTTTAAATTCTTAACTTATTATGTGAACCTTAATCCACCTTTGGTCCATATTACAGTTTATTGCACTATTTCTTTTCAAAACTTTTTTAGAATTTCTTCGAATATTATATAATATTATAATATTGTGCTGTACAATTGTTAAAATGTACAAAGGTCCGAGAAAGATATTGTACACGATTCGCATCGCAGGCAGGCGGCTATTATATAATATACCTAGCAGTGATACGATAGACAGCGGAACGTCGCGAGGAGCAAAAACATACCCGTATGGTTCGAAATTCGAATAACCAAGGTGGCGGTTAATAATATTAAACGGTTAAAATAATATCCATGTGTTTGAACCGTGGTTGATAATTATCATATTAATTATGCGTGCGACGTGCCTAATAAATAAATAACAAAATACAAGACAGCCACTTACCAACATCTTGGCGGCGTTCTGGTTCCGGTACAGTTACGAAGATATCAATAATAATTATATTATTTGTATTATTATCGCAGAGGGTACCCGAGGGTTGATCGGAGAAAAAATAAGCACGTGCAACAAGACCGCGGCGGCGACGTGCGTGCGTGCACGACTGTCGTCGGCGTGAACTGTGGAGGTTGCAGGCGGGTGCGCGACTACCACTGCTAAAAACCACGGCGGCGGCGGCAGTATAACAACAGTCTGGTCGGTAGTTGTTTCGCGGGGGGCTGTTGTTCCGCAAGAGTCGTGGGGTCGCCGTKTATGGACGTACGCCAAAGACGCCGCAGACAACACTGACGGCGCGCCGGATAATTCGCGTGTGCTCGGCGGCGGACCGTGCACATAAATATATTTATTTGAACATGTAGATATCGTGAGCGTATATCGTCATCCGCCGCGCTRTGCATAATATCATATACATGAATGATACATATTAAATATTACGGTGTGTCGTCGCCGCCGCCCACCCGCCGACGCAGATTTGGTGGTGGTCGACTGGAACAGGCGACGGTCGCCGTAAATATATTGTTATTGCAATTATCATTTTATTATTGTCTTTCGTTTGCAATTTTTTTGTAATTTTTTTTTCCTCGTTTCCGTTTCACGCACACGCGGCAGTGTCTCCCTCTGCGCATAAATATTTTATATATTATTGTAGAAACCTCGTTGCTCGTTCCGTACCTACGGTGGTTTTTTACTTTTTAGTTTCCACACCGTCTCACCACAGCTGCTGCTGCTGCTGGCGGCGTCTGGCGGCCGTTCGCCGTAACCGCCGCTCCGCCCATCGCATTTACCTATAGATCTGTTCTGTTATTATTGTATACGGCGATTCTATAATATTATCGTTATCCTATTCATAATATATACAAAATACACATAATACGTGACACTACTGCAGCGGCTTCCGGGTGTCGATATCGTCAGTGCCAGTTTGACGATTCATTCGTACAATATGTAAACATCGCCACAGAATAAAATAATATCACATTTCTGTACCACACACTACACAGTAGGACGTACACGCGCACGCGTACGTCGAGAGCGGAAGTTCGCGCACCACTTGCGTACAGACTACTGCGCGAGTTATCCAAGTCCCGAGCTTCCGCGCTACACCGCCAGGTCMYTGAGCGCATGTCATCGTTACAGGTTTCGGTTTTTGAGTTTCCGGTGACGGGCGGTAGTGCATACTCTAGAGCACTGAGACCACGGTTTAAAATTAGACTACAAGCGAGTGTAATATAGTTTGGTATTTCAGTAGGTTCATCGTTAAATCGCACCCTGATGAAGTGATGACTACATATTATTAATTATTATAATGGCACATGTCAAAACTATGTTTTTTTTTTTTCATGAAAGTGCATTTCATTAATTTTTTTTCGATCTATAATCAATATAATTATAACTTTAAAAATATCATCGGAAAAAATTAAATTGAGTTTATACCTACCAGCTTATAAAGGTATTATGATTTATTTTGAAATTAAACAGGATAAAAAATTGGTTTTACAATAATTTACAAGAGACATTAAAGAAAAATTGTATTTATAAATTATTTTATAATATTCGCAGATATAGAATATTTTTATTTCACTATGATGATGTTATATCCTTTTGTAATAGATATATTTTTTTTAATCCAACTTTTAAAATGTATCCTATTCTTATAATTTAATTTTTGTGTAGGTAAGTCATTACATTTTAGATTCTGATCGGAGCAATGAATGCATTGATTTTACAATGTGTTTTTTTCATTTTTTTTTTGCCTGTGGATCTATACACGATAATAGTCGAAATAAATAATGCTTCGATTTTTGATTTCAATATTTTGATTATTAATATCATAATCTTGTTGGTGTATTCAGGTCGTTAACATTTAAATTACCCAATGGCTTTCTAAATCTTTGGGRAAAACAAAATTAAAATTAAAGAAAAACGGGACATTTTATGCTAATGTATTTAAACATGTATTGTATTGTAATACATTTAAGCACATTTATTAATGAATAAAAGCATCTAAAAAAAAAAAAAAAAAAATTGAATTTCGAAACAACAGTACATAAATATTCGTCTGGGTTCAAAAAAAAGAAATTGTAATATTGAAAATTACAATGTGTAACAAAATAGCTGACAAATATTATTACTGACCATGTTATAACGGTTTGTTTAAAATTAAACTTTAAAAAAAAAAAAAAAAATGCAAATTCAATAATTTCACAGTCTTACTTATTTTAACTTATATACGTTATAGAAAACTCAAAACATTTCTCACTCCCTAATAGCTACGAAAATAAAATATWTAGGGAACTAGTGTGATTTGTTGAGGTCTAACAATCAAAGAGTATCCATAACTGTAAGGCGTTGCTTAAGTTTTTTCATGTTAAATAATAGATCTAACCTAACCTATGCGAACAGAAATCACTCACGTATGATTAATGATAATTTTAAAATAGTTAGATAATATAATATTATGTAGATAATTAGCTTATTTGTTTATTTTACGAGTTCTGCGGAAATCTATTAATCTGATAATCATCTCTCTGCATTTCGCTTTGTTGATAATTTTGTCCAGAACATAAACTCCCACACCACCCAAGTTGATTCAATAATAAGACTCGTTTGTTACATCAAATTTTTAGAATTCATAGCAATATAATCGTTATAATGCGGAAGTATTGTAACGGTAGGTATAATATAACAAATATTGTTTATTTTTAATGCTATTGAGCCTATTGAGGTTAGAGATTCGATCAAACATCCGAGACCTAAAAAATATTTATATATGATTAGGACGATCGTATATTATTCCTAACTAAAATATATTTAATTATACATTTCAATATTTAGAAATCTGTATTTATTATATTGTATTTCTCTATGACTTTCAAGATTTTCATGACTTCTGACATTATTTTCCTGCGTATACATTATATTACATAGATATAGCAAACTAGCAACGCATATAGGCAGTGCTCTAATTGGGGGGGGGTACAGGGGGACGGAGCTCCCTACTATTTTTTTTTACTTAGACGAGGGGACGGTAAAAAATTATGTCCGAAACATTTTTATTAAAATATGGATTTTTAATTACCTAATGTCAATTATATAAAAAAATTTTCACTATTCTTCATATCAAAATTATTTTTGATATTGTAGTTTAATAATTTATTATATCTTTTCTACATGATGGTTTAATATCTACAGCCGTGCTTTTTTGCGGTCCACTGAATAGATATGGTGCACAGATACAAGTGTGTGATGGTACTATCTAAAAATATCGTGTTCTGAACATAGGGTTAGATATTATTCCATGGTTCCGAACGAAATGTTATCAGTTTCAGTTATTACTGTTATGGTTATCATTTATCGGTGTTTTGAATTTTTCGATTTTGCATTGTAATCGAATTTCGACTTTTCAAGTCATTTTGTGTTCAATTAATTATTAAAATGATAATAATTGAAGATATTAAAAATATTATAATATGTTTTCTTTACAAATTATACACATTCACACAGACCGGAACAAGATTATAACAATCAGTAGTTTTCATATAATTAAATTATGTGTAGCTGAAAAGTGGTAGGTAGATATTCAAAATGTACATAAGGTTGTTGGTGGGAAGGTGGGTGTGGGGGCGAAATGAACGGATCTGCTTTGATTAATTTTGCACTTAAAACGCAGTTTTTAAGTCGTTGGATTGAGCTCCTCTACTTAATTTTTCCGAATTCGAGCACTACATATAGGCATTGTTCATGTAAATAATTCGTATAAAAACATTGGTATTCTACTTATAATATACCTACATAAAGGCAGGGAGTCTCATATCTATGGTAATTGACCGGTGACCAATTCTATTCAATTGAATATTTGAATAAGCAATTATTTATCAAAATATAATTGGATTCTTTTTGCCTTTAAAAATATAATTCTAAATTTTAGTTTAAAAAATTGTACATACCTATTCTATTCTGCATTTATATTAAATATTGAGTTTATTTAGTTTTATTTAAGAGTTATTAATTTTATCAGCACATTATTGATTTTTTTACAAATGCCTTACATAAATAAACTAAACATTTCATGTACACTTCACTTTTTTTGTTTTTTGAAAAACCAATATAATTATTCTAGCATCAAGCAATCCACTTTTAATTATCTAGATGATCTACAGCAGGCAGTGTAATTCTATAATTATTATTAACTAATAAAAATATTTTAATTATTAAATATGCTATATAGGTACCTATTTATCATAATGCATAAACCTAGTTAAACAGTTACATTGGTATATACTATATAGTAGTATAGTACCTATATTCAATATTGTGTTGCAAGTGGCTGGAAGTGAACTATTTCAGTCGAAGACCTCATTTCGTTCAAGACTGATATCGCCTTTCCACATGGGCCACACATTTACACATCACACTACTTTTCATCATGCATCTACATTCATCGCGATTACGGCAAACGTAATATAATATTGATCTAGCAACAACTAGACTATTTTACGAAAACAATTTCATGAAAGAAAAATGTTTACGTGTCATGCAACATGCAAGGAAGTTATAATATGAATATAATATTATAAGAAMTAACCAACAGTTTATGTTTTAAGGAACGTGTTTAAATTTAAGTGTCTTGATGTGCAGGAGATAGCCGATCACTTATTGGGATTTACATCTTACCATCCGTCATTATGGGTATTCCCACTTTGCCGCCGCTGGACGGAATAAGGTCGTTTTTCAACGTTTCAATCGTCATGGATAACTAAACTTTCGGTGCAGGTGTGACAAGAAAATATTATTTAATACATAATAATAATGATATGATAATATGAATTTTAGTTTTTTACATGTGTGAATCAATCTTCTAAATTTCATACTGATACAGTGATACATAATTTTAATCTACAATCTACCTATCTATATTATGTATAATTATAAGAAGATGTGAATTGTGATTTCCATATATAAATTTCATTATTGAGTTTAAACTATTGATAATTATAGTGGATGATATATAGTGCGCTACATTCTACACGTAATATTAATTTGGTGAATAACTGCATGTCTGCATTAAGTATTTTTTTTTTTTAATTATTACAAATCTCAGCGACAGGGGCCATTAGGACATTAGGTGAAACTAATTTTATTCATATTTGTATTCATAMAAGAAAAAATAAGGTTAATTTTTTTAATTTGTTTTAGCATTTGGTCTGTCGTCTGTGGTTATGAGTTTAATATAGTAATAGTGATTTGAATAAGGAAGATTTTAATTGTTTCAAGTGGTACAATATACTTAAATTKTATATACTTTTATAGTTGTAGGTACATGAAAGKTTTGRAATTCAGTTAAAACGTGTTTAATATGCACTCCGTTGTAGGACATAATATAGGTAAAGAGATCTCTACACTTTAATCATTAAAAACCCGTTAGAGACCTTTGTGTAAGATTCTAAACAGGGTTAGATATTATTATTTATCTATATACGACTATACCTATGAAAAGTACCTCCGTTTCACTTCGAAAGCCCATTGGGGTAGCGTGGCCGAGCGGTCTAAGGCGCTGGTTTAAGGCACCAGTCTCCTCGGAGGCGTGGGTTCGAATCCCACCGCTGCCAAGTAATTTTTTTCCATTACGTAAATATTATTGATTGCATTAAGATTTTTATGTAGATTGTATATTATAGATAAAAAATGGAATAATTTAAATTTATTAATTATCAAACAATTATTTTTGTGTAATTATTAGTACCTATACCTATAATTATTATTAATTAATAATAATTTAGATTTTTATAAATTCAGGAGTGTAGATTGATATTTAACCCGTGACAAACGTTTTAAGACGAGTACAATATTCAATATGATTAAAATTCATAGTAACAATAATATATGAGTTAATAAAATTAAACTTGCTAGGTACCAATATAATTATTAATTTCCATTACTTAGGTATATGAGAAAATAAATAGTTTAATATTAAAAATACTAAAAAAAAAATTAATTCAGTTAAACATACAACTTTATATGATTTACAATCGGAAAATT